TGTTCCGAGGAACAAGTGTTAGACTTTTTCTGCATTTTTCTCTGAAGCATTCTGAATGCAATTTTACTGAATTTTGAAACTTCTTAGCTTAGAACTTGACCTTGGTGCTTGCGCTGAACTTCTGTAAAAGCGGGCTCGTACGAGTTACTTTCCAGGAAGCGAAGCAGCGGCGGTGGCATTTTTATTAATGAGCCGTGGGTAGAAGGTGCTACTGCAAAAGTAAATAGCTGTATGCTGCTCGGGCCCCTTAAGCTACTCATCACTTTTTTATCTGAATGTGCAGTGTTTATGTGATTATTGCTATGGTTTCCTTTGGCAGTTGCTCTGTCTTGATGCAGCACATGTGATTTATTGTGCGATAGCTTCTTAACAGCTTAAACAGTGTTCTCTAGTGAGACAAAGAAGAAAATCAAGCTAAATTGCTGTAGAGCTCTCCGCCAGGCTTAAGAAAAGCTGTTTTGTGTGTGGCCTTAAGGATACAAGTTGTAGGTTTTTGCAGGGTTTGCACGATAAATTTATGCTTGCATAGGTGGCAGCTTTGCTTGTTCAAGGATTTCTTTCACTCGCTTAGCTGGCAGGGACTGGTTTAAAGATTTTGTTTGATTGCATTATTTACTTGATTTAATGTTTGCGAGAATAAATACAGAAACTGTTAATGGGACTGTAGGCCATATTGAGAGATGTATATTTATATAAATTAACTAAATGTTGATTTGCATAAGGCCTCAAGCTGCAGGTGGTTACAGAGAGGTCTCGTAAGATCGTGCTTTGTCTGTGAAAACTAGAAATCACAGAATTACAGAATGGTTGAGGTTGGAGGGGACTGTTGGTGATCATTTAGTCCAAACTCCTCTGCCCACCACTGCAAAGACTAAGGTCTCAACAGATCAGCTTTGTCACAGTTGGCTCATACTCCTCTTCAAAAGTGAACAGGCCTGGAAGGGTCTTCTCTGGAAGGGAAGCTGTTGGAGTTGGACCTTGGAGCTGATATGTAAGCGAATGTTGTTGCTTCCCCTTCAAACTGCTATCAGTGTGGTGGTTTGTAGTTCACCTTAGTCTAGAATCCGAGCTGAACTTGGAGGCTTTTCTCTCCATAGGAAGCTGTGCATCTTCCATCTAAATTAAGCTAAAGGCTGCCTAATGTGTGGCATATTTTTTCCTATATAATTTTTAATATCTATTAACAGCAGTATTTTCTTAAGTCTGTTGGATAATTTGAATTTGATTTAAGAAATGTGACTTTCTTTTTTCCCCTCCTTCCATGTTTGCTAGTGTCAAATCAATAGTGCCTTGACCTCATTTCATACTGCTTTGGAACTTGCAACAGACCAAAGGGAGATTCAACATGTCTGCTTATATGAAATAGGTAAATTGGATATCTTTGTGTTATAAGTAATTCACTTTTGAGTTTTGGCTAGCAGTTAATAGGCTAACTTAACTTAATTAGGATTTAAAAGAAGCTTTAAGATACTGGCTGTTGTCTTAATTCGTTGAATTATGTTAATAATCCTGTCTTCTTGTTTGGGAGTGGGTAGCATTTGACAGTTTCATATTTTTTAAACAATTTTTCCCCAAATAGTTGATGCAAAATCATATAGTAGATTGTGGAACAGAGGACAAACTATTCCTCTGTACAAGACTGTTTAAAATGAATGATGAATTAGTCAGGTTCTTCTGTGGAATTGCCATTTCTTTGCTGAAAATGAGTTCAAGTCTAAGAAGCTTCACAATTTGAAAAGATTTCTGTTTATTTCCTTTACATTATTGGCAAAAATGAAACAAATAATAGCATATGCTTTCTAGCAAATGTTCCTGATTTGCTTATAGGTGCTTAGCATAGAGATAATGTTATGCCTTTAAATGCCTTAAAATGTTTAAAAGCCAAGCATAGAAACTTTGTAAATTTCAGCATTCTACAGAATATTTTATAAAATATTTTAAGTGTTTGGATCACCTTGTTGATCTCAAATGCATTTTTTTTCAGTAAATTTTAACCAAACTTTCAATATATTTGTGATTAATTATGCTTTTATTGTTTTTAACTTTTCAAGCTATTGCCATAGTTGTTAAACTAGCTCCAGCTCTATAACAAAACTTATGTTTCAGTAATGTTTACATCAGACTCGAATTACTGTGCGTGCTCTCTCATGACTTTGTTGGTCTCATTTTTAGGCTGGTGCAGTATGATAGAGATGAATTTCAAAGATGCATTTGAATCTTTCGAAAGACTTAAAAATGAATCCAGGTGGTCCCAGTGCTACTATGCTTATTTAACAGCAGGTTAGTAATTTCAAGGGGTTGGATAAGTGATAAATGCAGCTGTGTGTAATGTTTCAACACAGTTTGTTTTATCTGGGGGGAGCTACCTGTGTACATAGTGCTTCCTGCATTGCTTCCTTCCTGTACAGCTCTGGGTCAGAAGTTACTTCCATAATTTTAGCTATATAAAACATGCATACAGTCTCCATTGCTATGGCTGTTATATGACCTGTTGCCAAACTGTTCTAACATACTGTCAGCAAATAATAAAACCCCAGAGATTGAGCTATATTAGTCATTAGTGAATAGGAAATAAAATATTGATGGACTTGCTGCTGCTCACAAAGGGTGCATGGGGGAGCGGGGATTTACACTTTCGCCAAGTTCCCTGTTCCGCTCTTTCAGGAGTCACTGTTTTTTTTCCCTGCACTATGAAAGCTAACCTTCATTTTTCCTGTTTATGTCCCAGCACTAATAGTTGCCTCTTTCTGTTTTTTTTTTTTTTTTTTTTTTCTTTTTGTGTTGTTACAGTGTGTCAAGGAGCCACTGGTGATGTCCATGGTGCTCAGAATGTTTTCAAGGAAGTGCAGAAGCTTTTCAAAAGAAAAAATAATCAAATTGAACAATTTTCAGTGAAAAAGGTTTGATTTAACCGAGACAGAATTGTTTTAGTACAGTAATTACACTTTGCAATTATGTTGTATTCTCTACCAGCGTTTATTTTTATACAAAGTGTTTTCTTCTATATTGCTTCTGTAGAATTAGAGAGAAAGATTCAGGTGGAAAAACAAGTGCTGTGTATTTTAAGGAACAAACAAAGAGTATGTGAAAAGCCATTTGCTTTTCAACTTAACCTAAGTACTTGTTATAGATTAAAAATACATTTTGCTGTAGTTATTTCAGAACTTTTTGTTCTAGCTTTGCATATATTACTCACTTTTATCTTGTTGTGTTTTTTAAAGCTTTAATATTTTGGGGAGCTAAGAGTTCTCTAGGCAATACCAACAGTTGATTTTGCAGATGCTGCTGAGCATATGTATCCAGCTCTTCTGTATTTGAGGTTGTGAAATATGTAAACATTTGAATTAATTGAAAGATTTTGGGTTTTAGTCCTGAAATCTGTAAGGTAAATTAAATTACCACTGACTTTATTTTTATAAAATTTTGGATGCTTTCCGGAAAAGTTAGAATTACTATTTGTGATATGTTATTTGTGAGTATTTTATGTTCCTTGTAAAGGTACAGATGATGAATATTCCACTTCCTTCTTCCCTACATTTCAGGCAGATAGGTTTAGAAAACAAATGCCAACCAAAGAGCTCTGTGTCTTGGCATCCATCGAAGTGTTGTACTTATGGAAAGCCCTTCCAAACTGTTCCCTCTCCAACCTTCAACATATGAGCCAAGGTAGGATAGAGCTCCTTGGGTTTTGTTGCTGTTGTTTGTTTTTGGTGAAATTTTTGATTTTTTTTTTCTTCTGTTGTGCAAACCAGTTGATTGCAGTAGCATGAATACTTAAGCCTATCTACATGCATAAAATAGGCTGTGTAGCAAAGGGAAACCTGATTCTGGTAAGATCTGGCTTAAAACTTGACCATTTTTGGTAGCCATTGTTCAGAGTCACTAAAGAAAACTCATTTAAATCTAGCTACAAAATACAATAGAATCAATAAATATAAATGGCATACATAATTTAGCAGAAATGCATCTTTCGAGGTTTCTCATGAGTTGGTAAGGATTCTTGTTGGTTGCTGTGACTGCCTTAATGGTGAAAGGGACAGCTGAGACCTGCCTCTTTCTCAGTCTCCAGAATCTTCGAATGAGATCTGTGAAATGAAGGTTATGGTTGCAAGGTGCTCATCATTTTTATTATCCTTATCTCTAGTGATCAGTCTTGTTTGCAGGCTGCAAACAGCCTCAAATTATTTCCTGCTCCTTTAGAAAATAACCCTCCCAAAATATCTACCACTAACATGCTTCATTACTCGTGTTATTGTGAAATTCTGGGGATTGTACATGCTATTAGGCTAGAAAACTGCCTAGTCTAAAAGTCTAGCATCAAGACCAGCTATGGATTTTTTTTTTTTTAATTAAAGATATTTCATTCATTTAACTTGTTTTTCGAGTCCTGGAAGATAGTGGTGAAGGCTTTAAAATTAATTTGCTTTGATTAAAAATAGATTTCAGGATGCTTTTTCTATGCATGTCTCTTGGCTTCAGAGTAGTCTGCTTCAGCGGTAGCAAAGAGTATGTGCACACACTCAGAAACAGCTGAGAGCTTTTTTACCAGCTTCCAGCTGGTGGTGCCCATCTTTATGTGAAACAGATACCAATATTGTTGGTGAAAATTCGGAAGTGTGCCTCCTGTAAGGCACTGCACTCAGCCAGAAGTGTCTGCATCGGTGATGCTTGAGGGTGTTCTGCGCAGTGAGAATCTTATTGCAGCTCCGAAGATACATATCTCAAGAACTAGGAGGTTATGGCAGGATGTTTTGTTTTGCCTTTTTTTTTTTTTTTTTCCTTTTCTTGAACAATTGAGATATACCCTGAGGGTTTTTTCCAAAGCTTTTCCTTGGGACTAGAAGATAACTGAAAAATACAGCTCTGAATTGCAGGAATTAATTTGTCTCCAAGTGCTGTGCCTTTTGTAAGTAAAATGCCAAGTAACTTGGGACTTTAATAGAAGTGAAAGAATTGACAGTGTTATGTAACATGCAAATACTTAATGCAGCCAACTGTCAGTTGTGTGTAGGTGGTTGATTTGGGTTGTGGATTAACCCTGTTTGGAATGCAGAGCCTGTTGGAATCGGGCAGGATTAATTAGATGAGGCCAAGGGTGGCGCTGGAGCAGCTGTGCTGCTCCCAGGCGTTGCAGCTCAGCGCCCCTTGATGGGATGACGAGTGATGCAGACTAGGGTGTCTCTGGAAAAGCTGGTGCAGATGGATGCAAGTGCTTCCCACGGAACGAGCCTCGATGCAGCAGAGCGGGAACCAAAGAGTTTGGACAAGCCGGAGCCTAATGCAGCAGAGCAGGTTGCTACGTGTGGCGGGCCGAGCTCCTCCCAGGAAGGGCGCCCCGCTCGGCCACGGCTCCGGCTGCCCTCGGCTCTGCACCCCCACAGCCCTGTCCCCTCGTCAGCACTGGGAAGAGCGATGCCAAAAGAGCCCGGCCTGGCATTTTAGATCCAGGACACACTTTGGTCTGGCGTTTGGCTTCAGTTCCGAACAAAACAGCTTTATGTCTCGCTTGTGTGCGTGTTATTTTTGTACTGGCCACGTTACAATTTGGACGGGGTATTTTGCCTCTGATACCTGGGACAGCCCAGTCACCTGTAACATGAAACAGAATTGATTGTTTCTTACCTTTTCCTTCCATTGGATCTTTCCCAATCTCATGAGTGGTGGACTGCTTGGTGGGATTGTTACAAAATATGTTATAGTTAAAAGAAACCAAGTTATCACGTTGTGTATGATGTCACTAGCTTTCCTAGGAGCTCTTCTTTCCAATTAAATTTTAGTCATCAGACTAAAGGTAAGCCACACTTACCTAAGAAGGAATTTCAATCCATCTCGTTGTTTTGTTGTTGTTACTTATTTTATTTTATCTTTTTATTAAGCTTGTCAGGATGTTGATGATTCATCTGCTGTTGGTTTGAGGAATCTGCTTCTTGGTGCCATACACAAATGCTTGGGAAATTTTCAAGATGCTGTTCAGGTAAATGTTTTTTTTTATTTATTTTTTATTTTAAATGATAAATTTCCCCATGAGTCCTATTTTATGAGCTCTTCTGTAAATATTGTTGAGTAAAAGCGTTAAGTAAACCATTAGTTCTCAGTGCTATTGATCATTCTGCTGTGCAGATTCCAGGGTGACAAGGCACATGCTCTTCAAATCTTCCACGTTGGCCTCGCTCATTAGATTTATTGTGTCGTAAAAGTAAACAGCTAATCACTACAGCTCAAGTGACTTGTGGTAGTAAGAGTCAAGGGAAGCCGGGAAGGAAAATGGAGAAATTCTTGAGCTCTGCTGGATTTTGTCGTCCAAGAAAGAAAACTGAGCTTTTAAAAATAATTTGGAGAATTACATTTTGAAGGCATAAGTTGGCCTGATCTGGCTCCAGAGCTATTAAGACACTGAGGATTGATTACTAGCATATATCAAAGTATAATTTTGTCATTGCTCTAGGCTTTGATCTGTAGGTGCAGCTTTTTTCTTTACTATTTAATGGAATTCGCATAGGCGAAAGAGCTATTGCTGACCTTAAATCTTTTTATCTCGCTCTCTCAAACATATTTTAAATAATCCAGATTAATTTATCTCTGAAAAAAAAAGTTAGATATAAGAAGGAACTGTAACATCAATTTAAAGTTAAAAAGATCTCTTGAAACAATCAGTATGTTGCTTGGTGAAAATCCAAGCAATCTAATTTTGCCTTCATAGGGTTTTATCTGTGGGAACCTCTGGGTCATAGCTTAAAGATTCTCCATCGCTGGAAACTAATACATTCATATTTTAGCCTTAGACTAATTTGTAGTGCTTGATGTTGAAAGACGCTTCTGGATTTTTAAGTGATCAACCAGCCTGTTTTAATGTGTCGTTTTTGTTTTTTTGCAGTTTTTTCAGCGAGCTGCTAAAGATGAACTGTGCCGTCAAAACAACTTATACGTTCAGCCATACGCTTGCTATGAACTGGGCTGTCTTCTGCTAGACAATCCAGAGGTAACAGTTTAATGAACTTTAAACTCTTAAAGTTGGATGGGAATTGATAAGGAAAAATGACATCTGACTTCCAGGCTTTCCGTATGCCTTGATTGCCGCCTGTGTTGGTTGTTGTGGTCTTTGCCCACACTCTGCCTTTTGGGGAACTCAAACCAGCCCTGAACTATTGTTGCGTTTTGCTGTTTTACTTCTCAAATGTGTAGGGGCTGCTACTTGGAGACTTGGAGTTCACGCTGTTCTATGTACTGCTTCCTGAATCCCACTGTGAGTTTGGAGAAGTGGTTGCAGGATAATGGGAAATGCCTTTTTTTGTTTGTTTTGTTGTTGTAGCCCCGCACCGCTATACACAGTTGCCAAAGGATTTAGGCTGACAGCATCTCCTGTTCTTAAGAGTCTGTTTTCATTTGTTTTAATCGTGTCAAATCTGAGCTGAGCTGAACCTTTCCCTTTAAGTGGGAAGGAAAGGAAGCCATTTCAGAGGAAATGTCTGTCGTGACACAGGAAAATAATAGAGAAAATGCTTTTAAAAATAATGATTCTTTTTTGAAAGCCTTCATGTTGTATGACTTTGAGCAAGGCCTTGAAACCTGGTGGGAAGGTCTGAGGTCAGTGTGGCTCCTGCTGCTTGTTTGATAATGTTCATGTTTGAATCTGCTGTGTCTCTGAGAACTGCCCTGTTTATAGTAGTTGGGACTACTGCTAAATAGGAGAGGAGGATGGTAGTGAAATAGGAGGGGTTTGGAAATTTGGGAAGAACCCTTCCTCATCCCTCGCGTGCGCTTCTTGCCCTGTCCTCTGGGGAATCCTACAGGAGCCTTTGCTCATAGCTGCTGCTCAGAAACCAGGGTAGCACCTGGTGTGGGACTGAAAGTAGGAAACGTTCCCTCCTGCAGCACGAGGGCTCTGGGAAGGAGAAGCTGCTTGACCTGGTCCAAGTGTGGTGGCTGGGAGCATCAAAAAGAGGGTTAAAGGCACCTGGGTGGTGTGGGGTGTGATATGTGTTGGGGCACGCTGGGGCTTTTTTTCCTTTTTTATTTTTATTTTTTCCATTGATGATCCAGCTCACTAGCTGAGATACCATGCGGGTCATTCTTGAGAGCTGTACAGTGATCAAAAAGAAAAGGATGTTTAGGATTTGAGAAATTGTACTTAATAAAGTGGCCTGAGCATATTAAAGACACTGAGTGAAAGATACGGATGCAAATATGCATGATACGCATGCTAGCATAAAAAGCACACTTTTATTCAATTTACAGTTAAAGTGACTCATGATATGTTTCATCAAACATGTATCTAATATCTTTGTTATTTTTAACTTCATTCTTGCATGCTAGCATAAAAAGCATACTTTTATTCAGTTTAAAGTGACTCATGATATGTTTGATCAAACATGTATCTAATTGATATCTTTGTTATTTTTAACTTCATTCTCATGCAGTTCTGTGAGATTATAGTTATGTCAAGAACAAGCTTACTAGATACAGACTTTTTTGTAGATGTTTTAGACACTGTGAATGAAGTATAACTGAAATAAAAAAAAAATCAGATATAACTGAATATGAAAAGTTCATTTTTTCTGTATCCTTTATCAGGTAGTTGGAGAAACTATTTGTAAGATTTAAAATATACTGCTTAATAAGAGCTTTTCAGTAATAAGTATTAATTTGCAAATATGGATAACTTAAGAGTTTGAAACTGAGACTTCTGAAACAACTTTAATGCTTAAAAATAACTCTTGCTTTGCAAGTTTTGTAAATGTCTAACTGCGGTTAAGAAAGAGAACTCCTTTGATCAGTTATTTACTTGTAGCCTTGTTTGCGTTTCTGTGCACTGTCGCAGCTCACTGTTGTCACCAGCAGCCTCCATGTCAAGCTTCATTTTCTCCTTTCTGTAGAAACCTTAGACATATGCAGTGAACCTTCTCTCATCAGTATTTCTAGTCTTGGAATGTGAGAGATTTCCATGTGCTCAAAACCTGGATTTCAAGATAGAAGTGCTACTTCAGATTGACCAGGCCATATACTTGGGATGTTTTCTGTAATATTTGTGGTTTGTTTTTAATGCAGTGTTTATCTCTCTTTTTTTAGACTGTGCCAAGAGGCAAAACTTTACTTCTCCAAGCTAAGGTAAAAGCCAGGACACCTCCAATTATATTTTGGGGAGAGAAAGGCATTTCAGAGATGTTTAACTCGGGTTTTAATAGTGTTAGTGTCTGTTGTATATAACCTATAACATTGCTTATCAGGTATGGGGGTGGGAGGCCTAGTACAGAGCCACACTAATAAACCTCTGAGGTATTAGAACCCTGCCAGGTCCTTTAAAACCAAAACTGACTGCAAACTACACTTCTCCACATCATATATGTTGCCACTGGTCCTTGGCTTGGGCATGTTGCACTTCTCTAGAGCTTAAATCTTAAAGAACGTAGAACCAGATCTAAATCTTAAAGAACTTGCCCCCAAATCATTCAACTAAATGTGATCTCTGAACAGTGGGGTGGAAATAGAGAAATCACTACTTAATGGAAGATAAGAAAAATATCTAAAGAGTCTGTTGCTGTGGTGATGCAGGGGCACTAATAACAATCTGCATTCTCCAGGTCATTTGTCTCCTGTTTTGTAGATTCATAGCTTCCCTAGTAAAATTACCTTCCTATCCAAAGATGAAGGAGGCTAATAGTTTCATGCTTTTTTCTATTTCAGGAAGAATTTACTGGCTATGATTTTGAGAACAGATTGCACGTCCGCATACATGCAGCCTTAGCGTCTCTGAGGGAGGTTGTTCCACAGTGATGGACCAAAAGTCTCGTCATCCTTTCCCACAGTTTCTGCACTTTAGGATGAAGCAGAGGATTAAGCTGTTGGGAAGACCAGCTTTTCTTCTGAAAACCATTTGTGCCAGAGACACTTTGCTAATATGTTCAGAGTTGTTATGGCTTAGTAAAATATCACAATTTTAATTAAAAATAAATCAACCAGGATGAGGGTTAAGTGACCTTGTGTTTTTAACTCTTCAGTTATTATTTTGTTTAAACAAAGCCGAACACAATTACTTGTAACTCTGCAGGTGAGCCTAAATAAGCACACATGTGATTTACTTTGACAATTTTGGCAGCGTTTCTTGTTTTTTTACTTTTAAAATACATCTAAAATAACACTCTCTAAGGGGAACGGTCTTCTGTTTTGATTAGAATAATATGATAGAAGTAATAGGTGTAAATGTTGACACTGGAAATGGGCCGAACACTTTTTCTTTGAGGATTAGCCAATATGGTAGGAACAAGAGAAGGAAAACTGTTCAGCTGCAAAAAGTAGGAAATTCTCTTAGGAAATTTTGGTTTTTTTTCAGTGACTTGATGATGACGTGTGAATTTCAAACTTCACATTCCGTCCTTTCTTCATCCTCCCCACCCGACTTGCTTACGATATAAATTATGTCAATATTTAGGATCTCTGCCTCTGGTGCATTCCGGCTAAATATTTACTTGGTTTGACATGCAATTACCGTGTGGGCAGTTCTTATTTCTGCTCTTAGTATTCCGAGTAGTGCATTAAATTACGTTGGCCGGATATTGTAATTTAACTGACTTTCCCATCAGGCTGCCGCGTCTTCATGGCAGTGACCTTTAAGGGTGTCAACGAACAAACCAAGCAAAAGCCTCTTCCAACCGCCATTCCAACAGTGCAACATCCTAAGTCTCTGAATGGTACTGCAAACCTGTGGTGTTAAGATACTGAAATACCTCGGACAGCTTAAATCTCTTTATTGTGACCATATGTTGTTTAATACTTGGCCATACGTGCGCTTGTGTAGTTAGGTTTCCTTTTGTCTGCAACACGTGTCCCTCACCTTGTATATTCAGTTAATATTATATTCTGGGAAAGTCAATATTTTTTTAAAGAAACTTACGAATGGAAATCTGGCCAGAAAGTTAGTTGAATTATGTTACTTTGCAAACCGAAGAAAAATGGATCTCCTTGGAAATAGTTGTTGAAAAGCCTTATCTTTACTTTGGTCAGGTTGCCTTAAGCAGTTCCTTAGCTTAAACGGTTTTTCTTTTCTTACCTTTTTGCAGAATACGTTGCCAAAGTTTTAAAGCTTGCCCACTCCTGACCTTCATTGATTTGCTTTTGAGGGTGCATCTAAAGCAAGACTGATATGGAGGAGGAAAGTAATATCCTATTTGGTAGGCCAAATGAAAAGGTTGACACACTTTCCCTCCAGAAATACACAACTTCTGCTATGAAAGGCATTCCTAGAGCAGTTAGGCACTTCTTTTGCAGTCCATGAAGGAGGGGAGCAACTAACTCTCAAAATATATAAATAAAAATCCATAATCTGGGTACATTACCAATAGTAACCTGATTTGTCATTCAGATTTACCAGTAATGTTGAGTCACAAATGAGTGTTCAATCTAATTTGAAGTGGCCCATCAAAATGAAGTACTGAATAGGAAACAATATACTGTATATATAGCGACTTCTTAGGACTCTAATCATAATTTTAGAAATGGATGTGACATCTTATTTTGTCTGTCTAATTTTTATATTTTGCGAACAGAGATATAGTCCAGTCTGGGTAAATAGCTAGGAACAGTTACTGACGAAAGTATTAAGTACACTGCTTAAATGTGATGTTGAGACCAGGCTGTTGAGGACACAAAGGCCCTGCATGCAGTTTGTGTTGGGCTGTCTCGGGCCTGCATGCGAGGAGGCAGTTGCGAGCTGGAGTGAACTGCCCAAACGGCCTGTTCCCACCAGGCCTCCGGCGCTACGGAGAGACACCCTGTGCTCAGGCAGCAGGTCAGCTCCAGGCAACTTGCAGCTTCTCCTTGGGCTTAGAGAATCGTCACTGAAATGGAACTGTCTGTTTCTGGATCTTTTCCCCTCATAGGAGAGTCTCCTAATTCGTAAATGTTATTTTATTTTTTTTTTTAAGTTAGATTGTGCCTGTGATGAGAAATCAACTGTACTTTGTGTGGACAGTTAAGGTTGTTTCTGTTTTTTTGTTTTTATACTTTGGAACTCGGAGGCATGGTCTAATAGCAATAATGGAATATGCATCTTGCTAGTTAATATATTACGGCTATCTTTACTGGGTCAGGTATTTTTGTTGATGTTGATGAAGTTTTTATCTCAATATGACTCATTTCAGATGAATAACTAGAATTTTTAGATGTCACAATATGGCATATTTATTGTGATGTACTGTAAATGTTGTTAATTTACAGAACTTGCACTTTTATATTTCTGAGTAAAATTAAAAGAAATGCGGATATGAGTTTTGTTCCCTTGTTCCTCAAATTTGCCTTTAATTGGTGGCCTCCTAAATGAGACGATTCTAAGGATAGGGAAAACTTCTGGGCTGTCAAGTGACTCTGTAACAAAGTTTTCTAGTCAGCAATTACCTCAGCTTTTGTTCTTCCAGCATAACAACAGTCTCCTGGTTTAGAAAGTGAGTTACATGTGTCATGTTGAGATCAACTGTAGAATGAGCAAAATTTAACATACGCTCTTAAGACGGGAAATTTTCTTGCTTCTCATTTTAAAAAAAGGAAAAACAAAAAATGTACTCTCTGTATCCGTACACCTTTCCAATGCTTCTGACTTATTCTAAGCAAGCACTTTAGTTTCTCCGTCGCTGACTTTGGATGCTTGTTTCATATTCTAGTTATGCTTTATTAAATAAAATTCCCCAAATCTTACACTGAATTGCTTTTCGATTTACAACAGTCTGGTCCTTTGTTCCAACAACTGATCGTAGTTTAAAATTTTCTCTGTAACTGTTTGAAATATGAATGGGGAAAAGTGTTATACTGGTAAAACACGGCGTTGGGAGGATGTTAATAAAACCCATCAAAGAAGTGAAAAGACGGCAGGCTGCAAAGGGTGCTTGAATTCTCTTTTCACTCATGATGACAAGGTGTTCTTATTAACAGTGGTGGCAATAACTTGCATGACAAAATAGTTGCAATCATAAAGAAGTGATTATTAAAACTAATGTTATGAAGAAGCAGATTTATGTTTAGCTGTTTTTTAAGGCCACTGGGCAGCACTGACATGGGACCAACATTTCTGGAGGCTCTGGAACAGAAGGGACCTCTGCTGAACTCCAGCAGGAAAGAATTAGGTACTGTTACACTACCCCTAATTCCTCCACCTCAAGTAACTGTGTAACAGGATGATGTTATGTTAAATTTAGAGTTCTAAAATGAAAGGCAAATGGCAATCAGCAGACTGCTACTTGCAGTTCGAGTAGATGCCGACACCATATTGTTGCTTTCTGATGTCTTGGGTGAGCTAGAAACTGCTTCAAAATCTACTTTTCTGTATTGGGGCATCTTAAAGTACTTTGTGTAAGTCAGCCTTTTAAGATGGAATTGGGAATTCTCTCCAGGAGCAAGCAAGTCCTGATTGTGGTTCATTGTGACCAAACAGTATTAAAACCCCGTAAAGCTTAAATAGTCTTTACAGAGATTCAGAAAGCCTAAGAATTTGCTGGCATTACACTGAATTATCCATATCTCTATATAAGGCCCTTGATTTATGCTGGAGCAAATTCTTGTATGAAATTGGCCACTATATAGGAGGCACTGGAGAAAAAAAAAAAAAAAAAAAAGGCCAATTTTCATCACTGCATTGCAAATGTGTAGCCTGTCAGAACTTTGTAGCTGGTGCAATGGTGCGATTATTAGTAGATAGCAAAAAGAGTTTTTTTCTGATGCTTGTGTTATCAAGGTTATCTTCCCTGATGGAATTATATGTGCATCTCTCACTGTGTGGCATCCCTTGCAGCTCTGAAGTGTCTTGCTGGTGTTGCCTACGTTTGCAGAGTGCTTGCAGAGATGGCCGTGTACCAGCAAAGAGAGCCAAGAAAGTCGTGCTGTGTTGGAGAACTGCGCCGGAAAGGATCCAGTCCCTCTGCTATTGCAAACCTGGAGCTGTCTTGCATGCACTGTGTCCTCTCGTAGATTTTTTTCTTGCTCTGTTAAGTACTCTGTTCCTTGCCACATCTGTGTGTAGGCATTAGAAAGAATGCTCCGGTGACCTTTGGGTGTTCTCTCACATAAACAGCGCAAACAAGACATGAAAGAAGGTCAGCATGAGGCAGTCTCCCCAGAGCTGAATGATGAGTGGTTTCTGTTCTTCACCGTCTTTTCCTAAGCTTGGACTGCCACAACCCTATGCCCCAGAATAGATCACCAGTGTAGGTGGCATTACAGCTCATGTTGCCCTCATGCATCCGCTCAGAACCTCTTTGCTTGTGTATCCAAGACTTGCGCGACCTCTTCTAGCCTCTCGGTCACACTGAGTTTATGTATAGGGGGCTTGTTACCGCTAGTTTCTTTTTTGTCAGTTGTTCCTTTTTCTGAGATGCTATTTATCTTGTGATGTGAATTTTCGAGATGGTGTTCCAGTGTACTGTTTTATCAAGTGACCTATATAACCCTGCCAAGCTGCACTGTCCTTGGTGTTTTCCAGCTGTTTGGCAGCCTGTGCTTTACCTACGTGTCCAGAAAAGCTTCCAGATGAAGAGCTCCTTTCAGTTTAATATTCAAGGGAGAGAGAGAGTGTTAGACTTGATTGTAAACCATTTAAATAACAAACACCATCTAGCACTGGGAGAGATTGTTAGACTTGATTGTAAACCTTTTAAATAACAAACACCATCTAGCACTTTAAGAGCAATGTGTTTATTGTAGTGAAAGATAATTGTACTCCTGGAATATATATTTTTCCCCGCAGGTACCACCTACAGCAGAGGTGGGAATGAGAGGGAAGGCAGAGACATGCACAAGGGCACCCTAAGTGAAAGCAGTGTTTTGCAGCCTGGTAGGAAAAGCCAGAGGCTTCCTTGGGCTAGGAAACCTCCTACTTAGGATTGAATTAAAGTTACTGAGAGGAAGAAATAGGTGTTGCTTCACCTTGTTCTCCTAGCTGTTTGGCTGGAGGTAACCAATGCGATTCGTTTACCTCTTAAATTCTCTTCAATGAGGAGTTTGTCGTATTTCATTCTCCCAATTGCTGTTGCTCATCTGCTCAGTATATTGAAAACTGATGGGGGCAGAAGCAGCATGGCTCAAGTTCTGCTGTGGTCTCCCCATCGTTGACGTGTCAGTGGTGTCTGGAGGCTGTGTTCCTGCAGGCGGGGCCAAGGGGCACCACAAGGTTGTCACCTCCTGAGGCAGCTGCTCCAAGGCTGGCAGCTTCCTCTGCTTTGGGGACCAAGTGGCGACAGGTTTTTAGTAGACGAACCCTATGGAGGGTCTGCTGATACAGTTCCCATACTGGTGTGGTGGGTTTCTTCCGGTGGCTTGCAAAAACAGCATTTGAGTTCCAGGGCAGCGAATAAATGTAGCCTTCTCTTTACTGCCTGCCCCCCTTAAGTTTCAGACAGACTTCTGATAGGGGCTGAAGCCTTTTTAAACCATTCAGGAGATTTATGCTTGTGTTCCCTTGCCTCTAATAATTTTTCCTTGTTTTATGATGTCTTTGTTTAAGTTCTTTGAAGCTTTTGCTGCACAGAACTTTGCAGACTTGAAATTTTGGAAGCTTTCAAAAAAGGCAAGTTCACAAGCTCTCTTCTGATCTGCCTGTATTCCTGGATGGTTTCAAGGCAACCATGGCTGTCTTTGCATACAGGTACGTTTAATGCGTTTATTAAGTCCTATTGCTTCAATATGCTCTCCAGACAGAAATACAGACTTGCAATTGCTCTCCTATTGTAATTTTTTTAAAAATCCTTATGTATATTCTTGTAATATAACTTCTCCTGCCGTACAAAAGCTCTTCTTCCTAATTTGGTAAGTCATAGCATAATCTTATATAACTTTATTCTTTTTATAGTGTGGTTTGTATTCATAGAATCGTTATGGTTGGAAAAGATCTTCAAGATCATTGAGTCCAACCATAAGTCCTTCAACACCATGCAACTGCCCAAGGCTGAAGAGCTCATTTGGGAGGTTTTCTCAACAACAAAATAATTTCCTTGGATCCTTTCCTAGAAGAACCACATCTTGGTGAGTTTTCTATCGACAGACTCTGGTAAACTCACTTTCCAGTGCTGTGAGGTTCTGTTTAACTTTACATTCCTAACAGCTTCTTTGAAGTTATGCGTTAGAGGAAGAGGTTGTAGCTGGCCTATTTTAATAGTCCTAAGAGTTGTCTTGGGATTGTCTTGGGCGGCAGGATTTCTTCTCAGGTTCTTGTACAAATACAGACCCGTGTGAATGCAGCAGCAGAAAGGTAATTAGTAGTCCAACGGCTTTCATGAAGAATCTTCTGTCGTGCGCATGAGTTTTTTGTGACAGATCTTGCCCATAGGCATCTCCTGTGACTGGCCTCATGATCTTTGGAAATTGGGCAGTAGCAAACTAGACGCAAACCCAGCAGCAGCCTTGGAAATAGGACATTTTACAGTTGCTTTTTTCTGCTTGTGTTACTGTAGCATGACAGGTTTTTGTACGTATCCCCCATACTTGATGGAGAGGCCCTCAGTGAGGCTGTTTAATCTGCACGTATCAGATGCTCTGAATGGTGTAAACACCTTGGTGCAGCACGGCCGGGCCGGGCCGG